GCTCTTCGCGGAACTCCTCCGCGTCTGAGCGTTTCCCCCCCCCTTAGGGGACCGCATGCGAACCCTACTCCTACCCTCCACGATTTCTGAGGGGAGGGGTGGGGTTCACTTCGCTCGGGAACTCCCGAACGAAGTGAACCCCACCCTCCCCATCAGAAATCGTGGGGGGTAGTGGTAGGGTTTGCATGTGGCCCCCTATTCTTCCCTGCCTCTTGAGCGCCAGCCAACGCGCCTGTCGCTTGCCCCGAAGAGCCACACGAGGGAGCGGGCTGCCTCGGCCTCGCCGCCGGCGAAGATAGTGTTTCGCGCTATTTTCAGCCTCTGGGGGCCCTCGCCAGGCCTCGGGACCGTCCAAAAACGGCTCTGGATGAAAGGGCGGCCCCGTGGAATGGGTCGAGACCTCTTGGGGATCGACGCTTTGTGAAAGTCATGGCGTCGGGGGAGGGGTGGGGGAGGCTTCTGAGGAGCACTCCTGCTTCTTAGAAGGCGTGGGCCTTGTCTGTAGATGAAGGGCCGGCACCTTCTAAGAAACAGCCTGCTTCGAAGAAGCCTTCCCTCTCTCCGCCCCGATATGCGCGCCGCCAAACAACGCATCATGCTTGCTTCCTCTCCAGGACACGCTGCTGCAATGAAGGTCATGTTTCGGCGAAGCGGTGGCCAAAGGCCAAAGCAATACTCACCGAGCGCGTTCCTCTACTCGCGACGGGCCTACTAGCAAACGTCTGAAAACAAACAAACGTGTGTTTGCCTCGATGTTTTGTATCGTGCGGTCCCGACGGATCCAATCCATTCGCGAGCAGATCTGTTGCGAATCGCCGACCGCGCTTGTCAATTTGCGGGGCGTGCCGACATGACACAGTTCGGCAGCGAGCGAGGGGGGGGGGAAGTGAAAAGGAAAAGGCCTTTCTCAGAAGGCTCGGAGGCCCCCCAGCCTTCCGAGAAGTGTTCTAAGCCTTCCTCGAAAACCGAACAAAAAGCCTCTCAGGAGGCGCGAGGGCTTCTGAGAAGCCTCCCCGCCTTCCGAGAAGGCCTTCTCCTTCTCGCTTCCCCCCCCCCCCCCTCGCTCGCCGAATGCCCCCTGGCAGGCCCACGGGGCTCGGGCCAGGCGCACTCGCCTCGAGGACGGCAGCGCACAGTACATGAGCACATAAAACTCTCGGAGCTCCGCGCGGGCTTCGTGGATCGTTACCAGCCTCGAACGTATCTCTATCCCTAAGATTGGCACGCCAAAAGGCGATGACAATCTTAGGGATTCGCCCTCAAAAATAAGGGAGTCCCTAAGATTGGCATTGTGATGAGGCGATGCCGAACATAGGGATAGGGATATGTTCCAGGCTGGTAAGATCGGCGCTGGTCCCCTGTGGCGGCGCCTCCTGCACCGGAGGTCCAGCGCAGATCCACGAACATTCGATTTAGATTCAGGTCGGGCATGTCCCCCTGCAGGAGGACTATTCAAACATAGTCAACACAAGCTGGTCGGGGACCATGTGTCGATTATTATCGGCTGCTGTTGAAATGGTTTTGACTATTTCTGTGGTTGAAATGGTTTTGACTATTCTCGGCTGTTATCGAAAGGTAATTCGGGCATGTCCCTCTAGAGGAGGATTATGCATAAATAGTTTTAAAATCAAAATAGGTTGGGGACGATCTTTCGAATACGCTTGGCTGTTGTTGAGAAGGTTTTGTGTTTTTCCTCCAAAGCCCGCCTGCAGGAGGACATGCCCGACCTGAATGTCTGCTCTGCTTCCCTCGTCTGCTGCCGGGTTCTGCCAGAGGGGTGTCCGTGCCACTATCAAGTCGGGCACAGCCAGGACCCTGGTCAAGGGGAGCCGATTAGTGATCGGGAGCCTTGAGACGGGGGTCAATGCAAACGGGGGTCAGCCAGAGCGCCCAATCTTGCAGGATCCTGCAGGGCCAGGGTCGCATTGACCCGGATTTGGGTGCAGGATCCTGCAGGAGCTTAAAGGATCCGTCGCATTGGCCCGGGTTGGGGTGCAGGATTTTGCAGGACTTTGCAGGGTTCTGCAAGGCCTGACTGACCTGGGTCTGGATTGACCCGATAGTGATTGGGCCCCGAAGCCAAACGTATGGATTGTTGTAATCACTAAACAAGGTCTGCCGTAGCCAGAGCTTTCCGGGTGACGGCAATTCCAGTTCGTGGAATTGGGCGGGGGGAGCTCGACGATGCTTAGGACGTGGTGTGTTAGCCCTATAAGTGTGTTGACCCCGTTCAACCCAACCAGTCGGTCATCACTTTGCCTGCGTCGTAGTGAAGGGCCTCGGTGGGCAAACGCACGTTGGCGCGAACACACGTCCTGAGGATCATCGAGGGGCGTCCCCGCTACAGTTAAGTCGGGCGTGTCCCCCTACAGGGGGATTTTCGACGAACAAAATACTCCCAAATACCCCAAACTAGTGAACAACAAAAAAAACTAAAACATAGTCCCCGGACTATTTTTGGATTATTTTTTGATCATGTTTGGGGTATTCTATATTTTTTGTCGAAAATCCCACCTGTAGGGGGACAGGCCCGACTTAACGCTACAGGTCACGAGACCGGGTCGCCCGAAGCCGGGTCCTGCCATGACCCGAGGCGGGTGCTGCCCAATGGTGCCCCTGGCCCGAGGCGTCCCGAGCCTGCAGCAACACATGGGGCCCTCGGGCCCTCGCGAGGGGGCCGCGGGAAGCCAGCTGGGCCTCCCCCCAGGGGCTCGTGGGGACACTGTGCGCGGGGGCAGCAGCAGCAGCGGGGGAGGAGGAGGGGGAGGGGGGGGGCAGCTGGAGGGGAGGAGGGGGGGGGAAGGAGGAGGAGAGGAGGAGGAGAGGAGGAGGAGGAGGAGGAAGGGAGAGGAGGAGGAGGAGGAGGAGCAGGCGGAGCGGAGGCGGAGGCGGAGGCGGAGGAGGAGGAGGAGGAGGAGGAGGAGGAGGAGGAGGAGGTGGAGGTGGAGGAGGGGATGCGCGGGGGCACGCCGCGCGCGAGGGCTCGGGCCAGCCCCGCCTATTGTAGCACCCGGCCGCGCCCCTCCCCTCCGGGCCGGTGCGATCGAGGAGGGCGCGGGGAGACTGGTCAGGAGAGGAACACTTTCCGCTATTCAAGCAGTGGCGAAGCGTCCTGGCTCGCCTATAGCCCTACCAACCAATGTTCTAAGAACCTTTTGTGGTTTCCACGAGCTGTTCTTAGAACATTTTTGGTGGAGTCTGTCTTGTTGTTTCACATCGGGCTTACGTATGTTATAAGAACATTGTTTCTGTTCTTAGAACATTTTAGGGTTCTGAGAACATTTCGTGGTAGGACTATAGAAATGCCCGGACGGTCGGCCTCTGCTCAAGTTATTGATGCTCGTCCTGGAGATCCCTCGTCCCGGCGAGACGTCAGACGGACCTCCTGCCAGAGTGACCTGATTCTGGCGCGGTCCCGGTGGTGACCCCCGGATCGATGAGCGCGAAGCGGCAGCAGTGGCCTGCGTGTCCAGGTTTGGCCACCCCGCGTCTCGCGGTAAGCCGCGCACCGAGGTCACGCCTGCCCAGGGTCGCTCGTGCGTGCAGCCGATCTTGTCCACGGCTGGATTCGATTCTCCTCGGGCTTCTGGTCAGAACGGACTCCGGGAAAGGTTGGGGAGCTGCGGTGTGGGCACTCCCTTCTTCGTCCCCCCGGAACGAGGGGCGCAAGCCGTTCCTGCTGATTTCGGGCAGGTGTCGTTGTTGGTGTTGGCGCGGTGTTGGAGGCCGAGAGGTTGGCACCAACACCAACATCAGCGTTTGCTTCTACCGAGGAAAGACGATCCCGATCTCGCTGGTGGTGGTGGTGGTGGTGGTGTTAGCATTCGGCCTTATGAGGTGGCCGCGGTATTACCACCAGGACCACAATCTCGGCTCTTTTTGCCACGGCGAATGCAGCCCCCTGTGTTGGTGCTGGTGCCCATTTCAAAGCCTTCAGATGGGGGCGAAGGCCGACATCAGTTCCTGTCTCTTTCGGGCAGGTCTCGGTGGCGGTGTCGGCGCGGGGTCTGTCCATTCGAGGCAAGACATCGCCTGCCCAACACCGGCCGCTTTCGGTTTTGAAAAAAAAACGAGATTTGATGTCTCGATTTTCTCATACGGGGCTCCCTGAAGTCTCGACCCTGCTCCCAGGACTGCTTTGTTTAATGGCACCGTGGCCCAGCCAGGGCCCCCAGAGGCCGAAAACGGCAGAAACCTCCACCTTGATTGTTGCCCATTCGTGGGATGTCTGGGAGCGTCTGCTAGGATGCAGCTCCTGGGAGGTTGCACATTCTGAATCGGTGCTGGTAGATCCCTTGTCGAAGAGTCGCATGGTCTGGCTGAATCTCGTTTACTCCAGCTTGATCCTGGGCTCAAGAAACAGCCAAATCCAGCTCGATGGCTCCTTAATTCGGCCTGCTAGCTTCTCATCGTCCTGACGAAGACCTTCCAGGAGTTGGCTCCTCACGTCTGCCGTTGGGCACCGTGCGCGCACTCCCCGTTCACCGCCCACCAGACCACCCCGACCCGACCACAATAGCCCCTGTTTTGCCCTCCACTTCCAGTGGGGGGGGGGTCTGGGGAACATTGAAGACACACGTGTGGAACCTGTGCGCCCCCCCCCCCCCCCCCCAACGCGAAATTCGTGTCCTCGGGTTGGGTCGGGGTGCCTTGGTAGGCGCGTTTCTGGCGGCGCGCAGAAGGGGGGGGGGGAGGGAGGGGGGAAGGCTTCCTTGAGGCAGGGCCGCTTCTTAGAGGGCGCTGGCCTCGCGTCCATGGACAACGACCGCGCCTTCTGAGGAGCAGGGCCGCTTCTAAGAAGCCCTCTCCGCGCCTTCTGAGAAGCAGGACCGCGCCTTCTGAGGAGTAGGGCCGCTCCTAAGCAGCCCTCTCCCCTCCCCCCCCCTGACCTCCCCGTGCGTGGCCGACGTCTTCCCCGTGCCCACCCTGGGCGTGCCGGCCCCCCCGCCAGGGCCCCCACGAGGGCCCCGCCGGGCGGCCGCCTCCCCTCGGCGGCCAGCATGCGCGCCCTCGCCCTCGCGCTCGCGCTCCTGGCGGCCCAGGCCGGCGCCGTTCCGCCGCCGTGGCGCCGCGTAGCGCCGTCCTGCCGCCGCCGTTCCGCCGCCGCCGGCCGCGCGAATCAATTTCTCGAAATTTACCAATTCGTTAGAGCTCTAATCTTTTTCCCCCCATCTTCGATCTTATTCCCGCTCGCGATCCGTCTGGACGCCCGAAATGGGTACGGAAAGAGTGGGTACAATGCCCAACAGCAGTTCCTGTTCCTCTTGAGCAGGACTCGCTGTCCGCGCCGCCGCGGCCCGTCTCCATTCGAGACAGAGGGCCGCCCGCCCAGCAGCGGCCGCTGCTGGTTTGGGACGACATTAGTTGTTGGGCATTGTACCCATTCTTCCCGTACCCATTTCGGGCGTCCAAATCCCAGATCCGTGCCTGGTGGCCCCCAGAGGCCCGAGGATGCACGGGGCCCCGAGGCCGAGATCGGGGCAGAGCGGCGGGATGGCTAAGCAGTTCGGCGTCGGAGTGTTGGGCGTGCTGGCAGCAGTCGGCGTTGGCGGCGCGCCGAGGGGGGGGGGGGGGGGGGGCAGGGGGCGAGGGGCAAAGGCTTCTCGGACGCGCTCCTGCTTCTTGGAAGGCATCTGCGGTGTGCCGGGGCAGGTCGCCGAGGCCAGCGGCGGGGCGGGGCCTCGAACGAACCGCCTCGCCCTCCTCGCCTCCTCGCTATCCTCCTCCTCCTCCTCCTCCTCCTCCTCCTCCTCCTCCTCCTCGTCCTCCTCCTGCTGCTCCTCCTCGCTATCCTCCTCCTCCTCGCTATCCTCCTCCTCGCTATCCTCCTGCTCCTCCTCCTCCTGCTCGCCTGGGCTCTCGAGCGAAACGGTGTTTTGCGGGGATCTCGTGCACCGTTTTCGTTCTGATCTCGTCTTCGCGAGGCGCGGCGGCCCTCGCACACTCGCGCCGGCCGCTCCCTGGGCTGGGCACCTCCGTGGCCCAGGCCGCGAGGCGTCGTCGCCGTCGCCGTCGCCGTCGCCGTCGCCGCCGCCGTCGCCGTCGCTGTCGTCGTCGTCGTCGTCGTCGTCGTCGTCGTCGTCGTCGTCGTCGTCGTCGTCGTCGTGTCTCGTCTTCCTCTGGTGAGAGGCCGGTGGGTCGGCGGCCGTCTTCGGGGTCGAAGGCGGGGTCGCGCGGGCGAAGCCTGCGCCGCCGCAGAGGCGGCGGCAGGGGCGGCCGGGCCGTGCACACGGGCGGGGACCGTTCGAGATGTCTGCGGACGTCGCGGCAGCCTCCGAGCAGCCCTGGCGGGGAGGCGGAGCAGGGCTCGTCTCGATTCCCCCGATTCGATTCGATTCGACTTCGATGGCTTCCGATTCCGATTCCATTCGACTTGGGATTCCGATGTGGGTTCCGATGTCTCACTGCAGGTATACTATTCTGCCGATTTTTGCCGATTCGACTCCTCCCGACTTGGCTGCCGATTTCTGCCGATCCGATGAATTTCGATCGCCGATTCGACTTGTCGATTCGATTCTGGGCCCTCCTGGTGGAGCGGCGGAGGACGAGGAGTGGCGAGCGCACAAGTGCAAATTTCAAGCTCAGGATCCTGCACTGTGAGGAGTTCTCAGGCGAAACGCCCGGCCCTTTGGCTGGCCTCGGGGGGGGCGGGAGGCGTTATTTATAAGGGAGAATAATGGAGGAGGACAATGAGGAGGAGGAGGAGGAGGAGGCGGCGGAGGAGGAGGAGTAGGAGGAGCAGGAGGAGGAGGAGGAGGAGGAGGAGGAGGAGGAGGAGGAGGAGGAGGAGGGAGGAGGAGGAAAGGGAGGGGAGAGGAGGAGGAGGAGGAGGAGGAGAGAGGAGGAGGAGGAGGAGGAGGAGGAGGAAGAGAAGAGGATGGGGCAAGGGGAGGAGATACCGCTCTGGGCTTCGCGTGGACGGGTAGGGGGGGAAGGGTGAGAGCCAGGGCTGGAGGAGCAGGCGGCCCGAACGGTCCCGAACTTTGCGTGTGCTTGTTCTCTCGTGGTCTGGGCTGGGCTGGGCGTGTGGTCATCGGGGGGTGACCTAAATGGAGGGCGGAGGAAAGGGCCCCCAAGGGGCCGTTGCCCCTTTGGGCTCCTGCTGGCTGCAAAAGGACCCCTGCTCCTGCCTCCTCCTCCTTCTCCTCCTCCTCCTCCTCCTCCCACTTCCCATTACCACCCGCCCGATGGGTGTGGAGCCCAGTATGTGCGGCTCTGGAGAGGCAAGATGGAGCGCGGCGGGAGGAGTGAGGAAAGGAGGAGGGCAAGTCCAGTGGAGAAAGCGGAGGAGGAGGAGGAGGAGGAGGAGGAGGAGGAGGAGGAGGAGGAGGAGGCTGAGGAGGAGGAGGAGGAGGAGGGGAGGAGGAGGAGGAGCCCCGGCGTGTTGAGTCATCTTGGGGATTTTTCGCTGCCTCGAGGAAGGAATCAGGATTGACCCGGGGAGGGGTCTGCGGACCGATTTCGAATGGATGAGGGCGTCTGGCGGGAGAGCCGCCGTCGTATGAATCAATCATCCTCTGAGGGAGAATTGTGGAGAGACGGGGGAGCGATACTGGCGGTAGTGGAGGAGGAGGAGGAGGAGGAGGAGGGAGGAGGGAGGAGAGAGGGGGGGGGGGAGGGGAGGGGGGAGGGGAGGGGAGGAGGAGGAGGAGGAGGAGGAGGAGGAGGAGGAGGAGGAGGACGAGGACGAGGACGAGGACGAGGAGGAGGCCGAAGAGGAGGAGCAGCAGCAGGAGGAGCAGGACGAGCGAGGAGGGAGGAGGGATATCGGAGGACGGTGGAGCATTTTGTCGCACCGCTGCTGCACTGTCCAGCGCGCCGCGGTGGGGCGTTGGGCAGTGCTCCAGTGCAGCCCGGCGGGTGCGCGAGCGACTGACGTCGACCTTTTGGGATCGAGGCGGCCAGGAATTCAATTTGTGCGCAGGCGCTCCGAGCCGAGCCACGATGCTCATGCCCCGAGCCGGGCTGCCAATGGCCGAGGGCCCCGCCTGCAGTCTGGTGAGCGGGCTGGCGCAGCGCTCCCCTTCCCTCAGGTGCTGCGCGAGCTCGCCGAGGCCGGCTGGTCCATCGATCATTCCCGCCCCCAGCTGCGCGACGACGGCAGCACCCTCGCCGGCAGGGCCGTCGCAGACCCCCCCCTTCCTCGGGTGCTGCGCGAGCCCGCCGAGGCCGGCTGGTCCGTCGATCACGCCCGCTCCCACTTGCGCGACGGCGGCAGCACCCTCGCCGGCAGGCTGCTGCGCAACGCCCTGGGCCCGAGCTGTGCTCCTGGATGCCACGGCGCCTCGCGCGCCGACGCCGTGTTCCGAGGGGGCCGCGGCGAGCGCTCCGCCGGGCAGGCCTCTGGCGAGGGCTGCCGCGTACAAGCTCGTGGCCGTCGGCCGGTCCCGCCCCCCCGTGCTGGGGTCGTGGGCAAGACGGATCTCGGGTGTCTTCTCGGGCCTCTGGGCTCCTGGGGGGTCCTCTTGGTGACCCCGCGGGGGCTTCCTGCGAAGAAGAACGAACAGCACAAACATAACTGTTGGCGCTCCGCGCGGATTTCTTGGATGCGCGCTGGGCTCCCCCCCCGGCGGCGCGTCCGGCTGGCGAGCTCCGCGCGCCAGGGAGGGGGGTCAAGCGCAGATCCAAGAAATCCGCGCGGACCGTCGAAAGTTCATGTTGATGCAGTGTTTCCCTTTTTCATTCCTGGAGGTATATCCGGGGCTTCAGGAAAGCCACGCGACGCTCCCTAAGAGCTCGGCGGTCAGCGAGGGGGAGACGCGAGAAGGAGAAGGCTGTCTCAGAAGGCGGCGGGACTTCTCAGAAGTCCTTCTTGCCTTGCATGAGAGGTTTTCCGTGTCTTCGGGGAAGGCTGAGAACAATTCTCCGAAGGCGGCCGTCCGAGCCTTCTGAGAAGGCGTGCCCCTTCTCACTTCCCCCCGGGCTCGCCGCCAATAAGAGCGCCCAGGAACTTTGTATTTCCGGGGCACCTGGTAACGCCCCTCACGGGGCAGAAACCGATGTGATCAGTTTACATGTGGGATTGTCGTGCTGTCTCCTCCTTGTATTCAAGAGGCTTAGGCCATTCCGCCGACCCCCAGAAGAGGCGTGGAGCCCACGGTTGAGGCGTCGTAGGCTTTTTGGGCACTATGTGGGGATTCTTGCGGGTGTCTTCGGAGCTGTTTGAGGGCCTGGCGGAGCTTCGTGTAGGCAGTTTTGAAGCGTGTTGGGGGCCGCCTTGAGGTCGTCTATTTTGGGTCTCTTGTGGGCTTGTTGGGTGCCTTTTTTGAGCTGGTTGGGGGCTTATTGGGACTTTGGGGGCCTGTTGGGGCGGAAAGATGATTGGTTCGTGTTCTCACCCTTCGCCTCTCTTCGGGCCGTCTTGGAACCCTTTTGGGCCGTCCTGGGGCCCTCGTAGGGGACTCTTGGGCAGTTTTGAAGCGGTCTACGGGGCCTCTTGGGCCGTCTTGGAGCGTCGGAAGCTCGAGAAGACGAGATCCCCAGAAACATTAAAACACCAACGGGAAATCATACATGTTTGCCGTTCGGGGCCCTCTTGGGAAGGCTTTTCGGGCGTCTCGAAAGTATCAAGTGTCGTCCTGGAGCCATCAACCGCAGGCGCCTTGGGCCAATCGTTCTGCGATTCGGGACCGTCTTGGGAACGTATTTTTCAGGCACCAGGAAGCAGACTTGGAAGCTCCAGAGTCTCCGGGGGTAAGCCGGGGAGCCCGTATACCCCTCCCCCTCCCCCCCCACCCCCTCACCTCCTCCCAACCCTCCCACCCCTTCAACGGGATTTTGGACCCTGGTGGAGGGGGAAAGGGGGAGGGACACAACCAGTCATCTCACACGCCTTTTCACCCCCGGCAAGCGGTGGTCGGCGGACTCGCAGCTTTTCTGCTCTTCCTCCTGCCCTTTGCTCCCTGCTCCTAATGTCGCTCCTCCTTTGTATTCTTTCTCGTTTCCTTCGGCTCTCCTCCTGCTCCTTCCTCCTCCTCGTCCTCCTCCTCCTCCTCCTCCTGCCCCGCTTCCTGCTCCAGGTGGCTCGCCGCGGGCCCTGCGC